ACATTAAATTCATACAGCCCGATGTGGGTGGTGAAGGCTGACCTTTCCTTGGCGGATTCATCTAGCGGCACCTGCCAGTACCCCTTGGTTAAGTCCAAGGTAGAGATGAACTGGGCCCGTCCCAGTTTCTCCAATAGTTCATCTGTGCATGGCATTGGATAGTTGTCGGGGCAAGTTACAGCATTTAGCTTATGGTAGTCCACGCAAAAATGTATCTCCCCATCTAGTTTGGGAACTAGAACCACTGGAGATGACCATGCACTGCCAGAGGGGCGGATTACACCCATCTGTAACATATCCAGGATCTCCCGTTCTATAGCAGTTTTAGCTTGAGGAGATACCCGGTAAGGTTGGACTTTAATTGGGTGAGAATTACCTGTGTCAATGGAGTGGTATGCCCGTTCAGTCAGTCCTGGGGTGACTGAGAACGTCGGCGCGTAGCTAGTGCACAGCTCCTGGATCTGCTATCGCTGCATACGCCCAAGGATCATGGAGAGGTTCACCTCTTCCATGCCACCAGCACTTTTCCCTTTGTAGTAGACACCTTCAGGCCACTCAGCGTCGTCTCCTCCCTGGGCTGTAAACTGACAAACCTTTAATTCTCTGGAATAAAAGGGCTTTAGAGAATTAATATGGTATATCTTAGGCTTTCGGTTGGAGGTGGGGAATGCTATGAAATAATTAACAGCTCCCACGCGCTCCTGGACCATGAATGGCCCTTCCCACAACGCTTCCATTTTATGGGCCTGGAGCATCTTTAAGACCATGATCTGGTCCCCTACTTTGAAGGAATGGTCTCTGACATGTTTATCATTACCAGGCTTTTTGCTCTTTTTGAGCATCCTGTAGGTTTTCTTTAGCAAGGGCTAGAGAGGTTAGGAGGGTGTTTTGTAGGTTGGTTACAAAGTCCAGAATGTCAGTTCCTGGAGAAGGTGTAAATCCCTCTCATTGCTGCTTCACCAACTGTAACGGCCCCTTAACCTCACAGCCATATACAAGTTCAAATGGGGAAAACCCTAAACTGGGATGTGGTACAGCTCTGTAGGCAAAGAGCAACTGCTGCAACACTAGGTCCCAATCATTGGAGTGCTCATTTACGAATTTACGTATCATGGCCCCCAAAGTTCCATTAAACTTCTCCACCATGCCATTTGTTTGATGGTGGTAAGGTGTGGCAACCAAGTGATTTACCCCATGAGCTTCCCAAAGGCTTTCCATAGTTCCTGCCAGGAAATTAGTTCCTGCATCTGTGAGGATGTCGGAGGGCCAACCTACCCTGGCAAAAATGTCTGCTAGTGCCTGGCACACACTTTTAGCCCTGGTGTTGCTTCCGGCCATTGGGTGACAAAATCCATGAAAGTCAGTATGTACTTCTTTCCTCTGGGTGTCTTTTTCAGAAAAGGACCCAGAATATCCACAGCTACTCGCTGAAATGGAACTTCAATGATGGGGAGTGGCTGGTGAGGGGCTTAGATCTGGTCTTGGGGTTTTCCCACTTTTTGGCATACCTCACAAGACCGAACATAGGTAGAAACATCCTTGCCCATTCCCTCCCAGTGAAATGACCTCCCCAAATGGTCTTTGGTCCTGTTCACCCCAGCATGGCCACTAGGATGATCATTGGCTAAGCTCAAGAGCTTGATCCGGTACTTAGTTGGAACTACCAACTGTCTCTGAGGATGCCAGTCTTCCTGGTGTCCACCAGAAAGAGTTTCCTCGTATAAAAGTCCTCTTTCTGCAACAAACCTGGATCTATTAGAAGAGCTGAGAGGTGGTGGGTTGCTCCGTGCTGCCATCCAAGCTCTCTGGAGGCTTTCATCAGCTTCTTGTTCGGTCTGGAACTGTGCCCTTGATGCTGGAGACATCAGTTCTTCATTGGATTGTGGACCTATGCTTGGTCCCTCTGGAAGCGATGTAGGGGATGGGGCTGTTTCCATTGACTGTGATCCGCTCTCCGCTGGTGCATTATGTTGGGGTTCAGGCTCTGGCTGAGCCTCTTGTGTAGGGTCATCGGCTGCTGCCGGTTCAGGTTCGGTGGGGCCCCCTGGTGTTGGGGTTGCAAGTACTGGATTCAGTGCTGGCAATGGGTCTGGTGCTAGTTGTTCCGCCGGTTCCGGTTCTGGCTCTGTCTGGGTCTCTGGGACTGGATCCACTACTGGTGTTGCAGACATTGGCCTGGGACCCGGGTCTATCACCACTGACCAGGTCCTGGTAGAAGTTTCCGGAACAGAGCTAGGCATGACGGCTTGTTTAGCCTGGCTGCGGGTGACCATTCCCACCCTCTTGGCTTGCTTCACATGATTGGCCAAGTCTTCCCCCAACAGCATGGGGATGGGATAATCATCATAGACTGCAAAAGTCCACGTTCCTGACCAGCCCTTGTACTGGACAGGCAACTTGGCTGTAGGTAAATTGAAAGAGTTTGACTTGAAGGGTTGAATCATCACTTGGATCTCTGGGTTGATTAAATTGGGGTCCACTAAGGAAGCATGGATAGCCGACACTTGTGCTCCGGTGTCCCTCCACACGGTGACCTTCTTCCCTCCCACACTCACAGTTTCCCTCTGCTCCGAGGTATCTGGGAGGTATCTGGGCCTGAGGACCTCTTGTGTGATTCCAGTGCAATGAACTGTAATCTGTTGGGGTTCTTGGAGCAGTTGGCCTTTACATGCCCCGGTTCGTTACATTTAAAACATCGTCCAGCTGACAGGTCACTGGGGCAAGGGGGGTTGCTGGAGAACAGTGTGGGCAGGACGATAAGGTGGCTGGAGGGTTCCTTGGGGGCTAGGTGGGGCCTTGGGCTGCCCCCGGTAGTAGGGTGTGGTCTGAGGTTGTCCCTTCTGGTATCTGCTCCAACTGCGACCAGTTTTTTTCTTTTCTGCCACCTCCACCCATTTGGCTCCAATCTCCCCCACCTCGATTCCAGTTTTGGGCTTCCCATCTAGGATGTATCTTTCTATTTCCTCAGGAACACCCTCTAAGAACTGCTCCATTTGCATTAGGAAGGGCAAATCTTCTGGAGATTTAACTCTTGCTCCTGATATCCAGGCATCCCAATGTGGTAGGCATGTCAGGTAAATGACACGTCTGGTTTCCCACCTTAGGGCTCAGGAATGTTTGGGTGTTAGCCCCATTCTGACTCTCGCCTTGGTTTTAAACAGTTCATACTGGTTCATGTGTCCCCTAGGCATTTCAGCCGCCACCTCAGCTAAGGGTCCACTGAGCTGCGGCCTCAGCTCTACCATGTATTGATCTGTAGAAATGCTGTACCCAAGGCAGGCCCTTTCAAAGTTTTCTAAGAAGGCCTCAGTATCATCACCTGCCTCCTAGGTGGGGAACTTTCTGGGACGGGAAGTGATACCTGGAGAAGGATTGCTAGGATTTGTTGGTATATTCTGCTGAGCCTTTGCCTTCTCCATCTCCAGTGCATGCTTCCTCTCTTTTTCCTTCTCCTCCTCCACATGCTTCCTCTCTTTTTCCTTCTTCTCCATTTCTTTGGCCCTTGCCTCCATTTCCATCCACATGAATTCTATCTGTCTTTCATGTTCCTTTTGTTTTTCCACAGCCTCAAATCTGGCTAATTCCAGTTTTTGTTGAGCCGTGGAGTCTGTCATCCTAACCTCTCTGTTTTTAACTAACTTTACACAGGAGAGTTAGAAAGAAAACAAAACAAAACAAAAAAACTTGGCTTGTAAAATTTTGCTGTGCTGTCCGGATACCTATGTTCTCTGATAGTGATTCTCAGCCATCAGAGAAATCCTAAAAAAAAAACCAAAAAAAAAAAAATCACCTTAACACCTTTGTCTCCAGGCAAATAGGCAGAAAACCCCTCTAGTTGCTCTTAGGTAAAAAACAACTTCAGGTCTGTGAAGACTTGTGAATTTCCCTGCAGGAGGTTAACTACCCTGCCTTTAGGTAGAGAAAACTCCAGCTCACAAATTACAATTCCCTTTTGTCTCTGCTCTGGCCCCAAAGCAGAGAAAAAAAACGCTAACTGCTTTCAGTTTAAAACCTGCTTTCCAGCAGCCCAAAGGAAAAAAAAAATTCCTTTTCAAATCTGTGCTTCTGGTTCAAAATATCTCAAAATGATTTCAAGTTAATCCTACCGCTCTGCCACCATGTCAAGGTTCCTTCTCCACTCTGAACTCTAGGGTACAGATGTGGGGACCTGCATGAAAACCTCCTAAGCTTACTTTTACCAGCTTAGTTAAAACTTCCCCAAGGTACAAACTATTTTACCTTTTGCTCTTGGACTTTCGCTACCACCACCAAACATCTAACCGGTATATTATTAGGAAAGAGTCTGTTTGGAAACATCTCCCCTCCCCCCCCCCAAATCCTCCCAAACGTTACCCACCCCCCTTCCTGGGGAAGGTTTGATAAAAATCCTCAACAATTTGCATAGGTGACCACAGACCCAAACCCTTGGATCTTAAGAATAATGAAAAAGCATTCAAACTCTTAAAAGAAGAATTTTAATAGAAGAAAAAGTAGAAAGAATCACCTCTGTAAAATCAGGATGGTAAATACCTTATAGGGTAATTAGTTTCAAAACACAGAGAATCCCTCTAGGCAAAACCTTAAGTTACACAAAGACACAAAAACAGGAATATCCATTCCATTCAGCACAGCTTATTTTCTCAACCATTTAAAGAAATCATAATCTAATGCATATCTAGCTAGATTACTTACTAAATTCTAAGACCCCATTCCTGTTCTGTCCCCGGCAAAAACATCACACAGACTGAGTGAGAGAGGCTTTGTTTCTCCCTCCCCCCAGCTTTTGAAAGTATCTTGTCTCCTCATTGGTCATTTTGGTCAGGTGCCAGCGAGGTTATCCTAACTTCTTAACCCTTTACAGGCAAAAGGGTTTTTCCTCTGGCCAGGAGGGATTTTAAAGGTGTTTACCCTTCCCTTGATATTTATGACACCATTGATGGACCTATCCTCTGTTCTGCCCCTGGGGTGACAGAACCTTGATTGTCACATCTGTCTTTCAGGCTCTGTCCCAGCCTCTCTCACAGATGTATCCTGCAGCCAGCCCAGCTCAGGGAGCAGTGGGGACAGGTGATCTCATCCTCTCAAACCAAGCAACATGGGTCTTATTGAGGCTCAGATGGAAGGTCCCATGCATCTCCTGGAGGTAAGAACCGTTCACTCTTCCTTCCACTTGGGGCTCTTGCAACAAAGATGGTGCTCCTGCTACATATCCAGGTTGGGAGCTTTCCCTCTCCCTGGATCACAGCGCTGGTACAGAGACCTATTTCTCATCATGATATCCTCATTTTATTCTCAGAGGATGTGTCCAGGATCCTGGATAATGTTTTCTGCAGGAGATTTGAGCGGGTAGAGATCACTCATGCTCATGACCCAAGGGTCTTCAACCCGGGTCTGCAGGGATAATGGGAGCAGCCACACTCCAACCCTCCACCTGGAAGCCTGCTGAAAATTGCTTACCTAGCACCCATGAAGTTCAGCCCCAGTTTGAGGCTCCGCTCCTGAGGTCTTATTGGAGGAGTCCCAAGGAAGCTAATTGGCCTTCTGGCCCTGCTAAAGGCAGCAGCAGGAACAGGAAGCTGACTGAACACCGGGGCTGCTCCCTGTTTTGGACCGTGTGTTGCCTGTTTCTGATGCCGCTCCCCTGGCTTGATTTCCTGGCATCTGATTTGTGGTTGTGATCGCAAGATTGTCTTTTGCTTCTGATCTTCCAGTCTCCTGTCCCAGCTGACTCTCGACTCCTGTCACGTGAATGTGGACTCTGGCTCTGACCAGCAGGTCTGGCTGCCCTTGACCCAGCCGTGACATTGACTTTCGTACAATTTCTCCAATGCCCTTTTCTGCTCTCCAGCAAGATACAGCAGTACCTTGGCTCCCAAAGTCCTAGTTGCCTGCTATTCAAGGGCTGAGGAGCAGTGCTTGTATTTTCCCAACCCCAGCTGCTTTTCCTATGGGAGTCTCCCTAGAGCAGAGGAGAAATCTGCTCTTCTCTTAGGATCAGTCCCAGCAGTAATTCCACCCACCCTGGGATCAGGGACACACCTTGGCCTGTGAGGTAGGTGGGAGTAGAGGCTGAGGCTGCAGCAGTTTCCACCAGAGGACACCACCCTGTCTTTCTATGGTCTGACTAGGGCTCACCATCCATCCTGGAACTGAACACCGGATGGGAGCCGATAGATTGTCCTTGGTGGGCCACGTTCTTGTGTGTGATGGAGCTGTGTGCCAGAGGGGGCCAGGAGCAGATGCCCCACGCATGACCAGGACTGGGCTAAAGAGCTTGTAATGCTAGGTGAGTCAAACCATGGCCACATATAGACACCTTGGGCACCCATGCGGACTGAATCTGGCCCTTCGGTACCAAGACCACAACTCATTCCAACTTCAGTAATTACGGTAGTGACCCCTGACAGCCCCTTTGTTGTCCCTGTTAGCTGGGGCACAGGAATGGAAAGTAACTAGCTGCGAGATCACACACAACGTCACTGACAGAGGCAGGACTGAAGCACAGTGTTGATACCAGTCCAGCTCCAACCACTAGACTCCACCCACTTCCAAAGCCAGAGAATCCAGGAGCTCTGACTCTGACAGCTTGGCCTTAAATAAGCAACTTCCCTCCCACTCAAGAAGCCATAGAAGGGATCATCTGCTGAGCTCCCCTTTGCAATGCCACTGTCATTGAGCAAGCAGACTCTGCCACTGTTTTCCCTCTTCTTGCTCCTATCACCCTATTGTAACTCCCCCACCCCAGCATCTAGCCCTCCATTAATGTCGCCTTTTTAATATCTACCTGTGGGCACTGTTCCCTCTAAGTGTGTGCTCGTGCACACAGATCCTAAACCCCGCACAAACGGTGAAACACCACACGCACAAAAATTTGCACAGAAGAAATATTTTGCGCACACGGCCTGTCAAAAATTTGCACAGAAGAAATTTTTTGCATACACAGCCTGTCAAAAATTAGAGGGAACATTGCCTGTGGGCTTTGTCATCTGCCCCCTTTGAACCCAGTTTAAAGCCCTCCTCACTAGGTTAACGAGCCAGTGTCTAAAGATGCCCTTCCCCTTCTTGGTCAACAGGAACCTGTTTCTTCCCAGCAGATCTTCTTCCCGGAACAGCATCCCATTGTTGAGGAAGCCAAAGCCCTCCTGTCAACACCATCTGCTCAGCCATGAACTCATCTCCAGGATTTGTGTCCCTGTCTCAGGAGAAGCTGGAGAGCCCAGGAGTTTGGAAGCCTGGTTTCCATGGAGCCATGATCCTAGGAGCCCTGGTGCTGCAGCAATCCTCCAAGTGTACTGACAAGGAAACCCTGGCTGCCAAGCTCCTTGCCAGGTGGGCTGCTGAGGAGCCAGGGGTACTGGGAGCCCAGGCTACTAAGGGATCTGGGAGCCCAGGAGCCCTGGCAGCTTGCCAGTCAGGATGTTTAGGAACCAGGTGGGCGGGCGAGCTGGCAAGGAACTTGGCAGAGATGCCACAATTGACATGTTCCTCTGAAATGTTTCACTGTTGATTAAGTGGCATTTTCTGATAGAATAACGTTCTGTTAGAAAATTACCAACCAGCTCTAACTGTGGCCGAATGTGAGCAGCAAATTCTGAGCAGCGCTCTATGGACCAGGAGAAGCCTATTAATGTTAGATGCTGCACCTGGAGGGGAACCTAATTCCAGATGAAGCCCAGCTGGGAGAGGAGCTGGGCTAGGAGTATAAAGTCAGAAAGGGAGAGCAGAAAGAGGCTGAAGGGAGTTGGGTTGCCAGGTGTCCGGTTTTTGACCGGCATGCGCATTCAAAAAGGGACCGTGGTGGCTCCGGTAAGCACTGCCAACCGGACTTTTAATGGCAGGGCTAAGGCAGGTTAGTCGCTACTTGTCCTGGCACCACGTTGAGCCCTGGAAGTGGCCAGTAGGTCCGGCTTCTAGGCAGGGGGGCCACAGGGTTCCATGGCCAATTGGACCTGGCGGCGGGGGGGGGCAGCGGGTGGTGCCTGCTGGCAAGAGCAGGGCACGGAGCCTCCTGGCCCCCTGCCTAGGAGCCGGACCTGCTGGCCACTTCCAGGGTGCAGCGCTGAGCCTGGACAGGCAAGGAGCCTGCCTGAGCCCTGCTGTGCCACTGTCTGGGAGCCACCTGAAGTAAGCCCCCTGAATTATTCACTGTTTCTCAGGCCCCAACCCCCATGTCATATATTCATAGATTCCAAGGCCAGAAGGGACCATTGTGAGTCTCGTCTGACCGCCTGCATAATGCAGGCCAGAGAACTTTCCCCCAAATAATTCCTAGAGCAGAGCTTTTAGAAAAACATCCAATCTAGATTTTAAAATTGCTAGCCATGGAGAATCCACCATGACACTTGGTAGGTTGTTCCACATGTTAATTACTCTTACTAATTAAATGTGTACACCTTATTTCTAGTCTGATTTTGCCTAGCTTCAATTTCCAGCCATTGGATTGTGTTACACCTTTCTCTGCTAGACTGAAGAGCCCACAATTAAATATTTGTTTCCCAGGTAGGTACTTCTAGACTGGGATGAAGTCGCCCCTTATCCTTCTCTTTGTTAAGCTAAATTGATGATCCCCTTGAGACTATCAGTATAAGGCATGTTTTCCAATCCTTTAATCATTCTTGCGAATCTTCTCTAACCCCCTCCAATTTATCAACACCTTCTTGAATTGTGGGCACCAGAACTAGATACGGTATTACAGCAGCGGTTGCAGCAGTACCAGATACAGAGCTAAACTATACTTTCTACTCCTACTCAAGATTCCTCAGGGAAGAGAATCTTCACAGTGGGGAGTTTCCTGTCTCCTGGCCAACTGGTGGCAGATTTTTAATTATATTTCTTTTAGTGACTTCATTAGCTTGGAAGATTTTGTTTCTCAAAACTGCTAAATTAAAAAAGCAAAAACCAAAACCCACTTATTTTGGCTTTCTGAGGAAAGTCTGAAGGATAGCACCTCTGCTCCCCACTTCCCTCAGAAATGGCAGACGCAGGCAGCAGCCTTCAGAAACTCAGCTTCCAGCCAGCTTGTGGGCAAGGTCCACACTGAGACAGTGGAGCAGGCTGGAGCAGAGCCAACTTCTGGTCAGCAGCTGGGCAAGGTCCATGCTGAGATGGTTGAGCAGGCCGCATGGACGCTCCTTTCACTGAGACCAGGCCTGAATCACAGGCGTGGAATTAAAGGTAAGTATTTCAAAAGAATTGCAAAGTGCTTGCTGGGTAAGCCAGGGAGCAGAAAGGATGTGTGTGGTGGGTTGGGAGATGCTTACTTCAGAGTTCTTATGCTCTTCTTCCTATTTTCATTCAGTTACAGGAAAACACACCTCTTCCAAGCTCAGTTAGATTCAAAGCTGGTTGCTGTCACCCTTTCATTGGCTCAATACCTTCCCAGGTTTTCTTTAGGAGTCTCTTCATCTTATGACATACATAGTTTGTTAGGGCATATGTGCATTAGAGTTGTAATTCTTTCTCTACAGTTATATTTCTTTGTCTTTTTGGCAGGAGCTTCTTGGAACCTCTTTAAGTTCAGAGTTTTAACTCTTCTTTTTATTCAGTCCAGTTTCTGTGCTATTCCTTCAATTTTATTAGACTTCTATCAGAAACCAAAGTCTGTTTTCAATAAGTCTATCCTGTTCTTTATAGTTAAAGTTTATAGTACGCAAAACAGTCTGTGATGGGGTGTCAGCCCCACACTGGCCCAAGAGGGATTATAAGGGGCCTAAGGCAGCTGTGCCAAGAGTGGCCAATCAGAGAACAGCAGCCAATCAGGACCAGCAAGCCAACATAAAAGAGGGCTGCAGAGAAGAGCAGTTCCATCCAGTCGCTTCAGGGAGCCCAAGGTGTGAGAACTGAGTTCCTGCTGGGCTGAAGCAACTTCAATACCAGGGACAGCTCAGCAGCCAGTAGAGATCCCAGCGGCAGGGGAGAACTCTTGGCTGGCTGCCAAGGCTGAGCAAACAGGTTCTGAGGTGATGGCGAAGCTAGTGCTGAGGCTGGAGGAATTTTGGCAGCAGTGGACCTAAGTAGAGGGATGCAGGAGGAGGCTGTCATTTGTAGAGTCCCTGGGTTGGGGCCTGGAGTAGCGGGTGGGCCCTGGCTCCCTCACATTAGCCATTGGGGAAGTGGCTGAGAATTTAAGAATGCTGGACTATGAAGCCATACTCCCAGAAGGGGGAGACATAAATAGTGACATGGCTGGAGGGCCAAGCCATGAAGAGGATGCCATAGTTCCTGAGGTGGTGAGAAGGGCTGCAAGCAGAGGCAGTGATGGTGCACGGACCACTGACGGGGACATCAGCCTCAGAGTTAATCCCCAAAGAGACCAGAAGGAGGTGCTGGAACACGGTGAGTGATGTGCTCCGTGATAGTCTTTTAAATTTCAATAATTATTGGAAAGTCTTTATCTTAAATAGTTATTTGAGAAGTTGTAGTTTCTTTATACATTTCTTTGGAGGAAGGATCTTTAATGGCTGAGAATGCTCAAGCAATCCCTTCACCCAGTTCAGAAAGTTAGGTAAAGGGATTCTTTGAGCACTCCCTGCAATTAATAATTAATTCACTGCAACATGAGTAATTCTCTTTGTCTGAAATTTTGACACCTCTCTGTTTACCCCTTTTCCAGGTCATTTATGAATATGTTGAACAGAAATGGTCCCAGGACAGATCCTTGGTTGACCTGCTATTTACCTCTCTACATTGTGAAAACTCACCAATTCTTCCTCCCCTTTTGTTCTCTTCTTTAAAGCTAGTTACTAATCCATGAGAGGACCTTCCTGCTTATCCTAGGACAGCTTACTATGCTTAAGAGCCTTTGATGAGGGACCTTGTCCACAAGTTTGTTAACCCCTGACAGAATTGTAATAGATTGGTTAGACATTGATTTCCCTTTACAAAAGGCATGTTGACTCTTCCCCAGTATTTTGTGTTCATCTAGGTGCCTGATAATTCAATGCCAGGCAAATTGGTGAAACTCTAGTAAAAAACTGAAGTTAGGCTTACCAGCCTGTAATTGCCAGGATCACCTCTAGAGCATTTTAAAAAAATCAGCGTGACATTAGCTGTCCTCCAGTCATCTGGTACAGAGGCTGATTTAAATGAGATGTTACATACCACAGTTAGCAGTTCTGCATTTTCATATTTGAGCTTCAAAACTCTTGGGTGAATACCACCTGTTGTGGGTGACTTATTACTGTGTAATCTATAAACTTGTTCCAAAACCTCCTCTAATGGCACCTCACTATGGGGCAGTTCCTCAGATTTGTGATAAAAAAAAGAATGGCTCGGGTGCGATTGAAATCTTTCAGAGGCATTGGACTTCATACATTTACTCGTGATGTTTTACCATTTTCCCGTGTTTTTTTGCCGCCGATGCATGGATATGATCAGAGCTATACACAAACTTCCGGTATCCTGATCTGAATGATCTCCCATTTGCCCTTTTGTCGAGTCATGCTGTTAAGCACATTGAAATAGAAGCCATATAATAAAAGTATTAATTTGAAATAAACCAATCTGGTAAAAAATCAACCCCAAAATGTCACTGTCTAGAGGTCTAAAGTGTAAAAGAACAGCGACTTCATTTAAATCTGGATGGCTGAATGAGACTATAGAGACCGTTACATTAAAGTCACATAGTGTAATGCTTGTTAAACTTGTGAAATATTCACATATGATGAGGATAACGGAGTGGTTTGTGTATATTGTTGAGATGCCAGATCTTCAGGAGAATTTTCAACAGGAAGAATGTGGAACGATGTATGGAAGTTGGATTTCTTAAAGCGTCATCTGTCAAGTAAGTCTCATATAGATGGTGTAACAAGACTTAGAAACAAAAACCCTTCCTTACAGAGTGAATTGCTTAGGATGATTCTTGAAAGTCCAGCTGAAAAGCAGAGGAGGCAAATTAATCTCGAATGAAAGCGCTTAAACCCAGAAGAAATCAAAAAGAAAAGGAGTACTTGTGGCACCTTAGAGACTAACCAATTTATTGACAGTGTGTTATTGGCTATTAAAATGAACAGCTCAATGCTTTCTGTTCAGGATATTAATGACCATATAGAAAAGTATGTGCGCATACTAACAAGGTGGAAAAGTAAAAATTATGCTTTTGAATTTCTTGAAATTATCAACTGCATTGTCCAAAATGACCTCATGCATGAAATAGCATTGGCAATGTTTCATACTCTAGCTGTTGATGAAAACACTGATATATCCAATAACAGATACTTGGTACTCTACTTTAAATGTAGATCCATAAATTCTGCAGACTATAAAACTTTGTTTGGTGGACTATTACAATTGCAAGAATGTGATGCTGTTTCAATAGTGTCTTCAATCAAAGAGTTTTATAAAAAACACCAACTTAATTTAATGAAAATGGTGATGTTCACATCTGATGGTGCCTCCATGATGTTGGGCAAACTCAATGGTGTGGCGGCTCAGCTGAAATGTGATATTCCACACTTAGTCCAGCAACATTGCATTGCACACCGGGAAGACTTGGGAATTTCCGATGCATGGAAAGAGGTCAAGCTGATAAGAGACATCGAAACCTTAATGAGAACTGTGTACACGGTGTTCTGTCACTCATCCGGGAGAAAATGCAAATTTCAGGAAATAGTGGATGCTTCTGACTGTGAGTCAGTGGCTTTCAAGCCACTCAGTGAGGTACACTGATTATTGAGGCACTTTGCACTTCGAGCAACTATTCGCAACTATAATCCTCTTCTGGAATATTTTGAGCAAGACAAAGATACTGATCCAGTTTCTAAATATTGCCACAAAAAGCTGAATACCATGGAATACCAAATAACATTAGAAGTTTTGAATGATGTTTTGTCAGAGCTGGCTTCACTATCCATGCTGCCCGAGGTAAACTGAACAAGATCAGAAGACAGTACTTTGGAGATTCAGTCTTATGGAGTGACAAAGTTAAGGCTCTCTTAGATATGAGCTCTCAAGAAAATAATGAAATTGATACCAATTCAATAATAACTTTCATAAACATCTTGTGTGCACATTTGGCAGACAGGTTTCCAGAGGATGAAGTCCAGGAGTGGTCCTCTTTTGATTGTGCAGCAATAATTAAGTGTTACTTCAATTTTGGAATTCATCAGGTCAAATCCCTATGTTCAAAATACAAAGATTATCTTTCTGAAGAGATTTTTATAGTCAGTCAGTACAATGACTTCAAGTTTGCAGTAGCTGAAAGAATCAAAAGCCAATTGGTTTTAAGTTTCCTGGATATGGTGACATTTGCTCACTAGGATGAACAGTTTCAGGATCTTGCAAAGTTGATGGTGTCAGGGTTCCTTCCCCACTCTGAACTCTAGGGTACAGATGTGGGGACCTGCATGAAAGACCCCCTAAGCTTATTCTTACCAGCTTAGGTTAAAAACTTGCTCAAGGTACAAACTTTGCCTTGTCCTTGAACACTATGCTGCCACCACCAAGAGTGTTAAACAAAGAACTGGGAAAGAGCCCACTTGGAGACTTCTTCCCCCCAAAATATTCCCCCAAGCCCTACACCCCCTTTCCTGGGGAAGGCTTGATAAATATCCTCACCAATTTGCACAGGTGAATACAGACCCAAACCCTTGGATCTTAAGAACAATGAAAAAACCATCAGGTTCTTAAAAGAAGAATTTTAATTAAAGAAAAAGTAAAAGAATCACCTCTGTAAAATCAGGATGGTAAATACCTTACAGGGTAATCAGATTCAAAACATAGAAAATCCCTCTAGGCAAAACCTTAAGTTACAAAAAGACACAAAAACAGAAATATACATTCCATTCAGCACAGCTATTTTACCAGCCATTAAACCAAAGGAAATCAAATGCATTTCTAGCTAGATTGCTTACTAACTTTTTACAGGAGTTCTGAAGAGCATTCCTGATCTGTTCCTGGCAAAGCATCACACAGACAGACAGACCCTTTATTCCCCCTCCTCCAGCTCTGAAAGTAACTTGTCTCCTCATTGGTCATTTTGGTCAGGTGCCAGTGAGGTTATCCTAGCTTCTTAACCCTTGACAGGTGAAAAGGTTTTGCCTCTGGCCAGGAGGGATTTTATAGTTCTGTATACAGAAAGGTGGTTACCCTTCCTTTTATATTTATGACAGATGGATATTGGAGGAACATTCCTAGCATCAAGTGCAGACTGTGAGTGTGGCTTTAGCTTAATGAACACTCTAAAAAACAAACTACAGAATCGTTTACAAGTAGATCATTTGGACATGCTGATGTGTATTAAGAGTTACCAGCTGGATGGAGGACTGATAGATCTGGACAGAGTTTATATTGAATGGGCAAATGAAAAAGATCACAGGGAAAAACAGTAAGGTTAGTTTAACAGTCTTTGACATTTCAACCAATAAGGAAATTAAAATGCATTTGTAATTACATATCTTATTCTTGGCTGATAATCATTTATTGATATTTTTTAGGAAAATTTTAAATTTAAAACAAACTCTTGTTTTTCTTTTTTTACTTTTACTTATGATATCTCTATCTGAAAACCCACATAAATTGACATAATGGCATACTTATTAAATTGTCTTTATTATATGTTTATCAAAATCTTTTTGGACATGTGAAAAGAATGAAAGATAAAAGTGGACACCAATGGGCAGAAGCCTATGAACTGATAATGATCATGATTAATATGTGCTTGATATATGCTCATGATTATCTATAAAAAAGATCATAAAGCGCAATGCTTAAAACTAACTTCTGCTTCATGAAGAATGGTTAAATTTCCTTTTTCTAAGTATTTTAAAATGACATTTATAAAATAACATGGTGTAAAACTATTATTATCACAAATTGCAAATTCCAAAACTTTTTAAATGTATAAGCATTTTACCCACTTGGGCGCATTTGCCTCATGGCCCACAAATTTGAACTCTGCTTCAAAAATTTGCACAGAAGAAATTTTTTGCGCATATGGCCTGTCAAAAATTAGAGGGAACATTGACTGGGAAATGCAAAGGGATGACAGCCCTTTACCAGGCTGTGTCCAAGAAAACAGCCTGGAGATTGCACACCCTAAAATTGAAGGGCTGATAGATGTAACTGGAGGTGAGGGTCCAGTAATTGACCTGACTGTTGACAAATTAAGCTGGGTCAGTCAGTCAATCCCGATATTAGGGGCTTTGTCTTATGTAAGACCCTATTACCTCTCACCCCCATCCTAATTTTTCACACTTGCTTTCTGGTCACCCTAGCCCCAGGGGTGAATGCCCCTCTGGGGCCTTTGGTCCAGCCTGCTGGTGGACTCTGCCCTCCTTGGCTACTGCTTCCCCTATGGGGCACTGGGGGGGCTGCTGAGAGCAAATCCCATCTCTTGTTACTCACACCTGTGGCTCTGATTGGCCAGTGGTGCTGGTAGGTGGGGAGCAGAATGGGGGCCGGCTCAGAGGGGGCAGATAGGGCAGCTGGGGGGTGTACCAGCCCAGCTCCCCAGCTGTAAAATAGGGATAAGAATACCCGCTTTCTCCCACCCTTTGTCTGTTTGACCTGTTTAGATTGTGAGCTCTTTGAGGCAGGGACTGCCTCCAACTTTGTGTATGTACAGCCCCTAGCGCAACTGTGTCCAATCTTACTTGGGGCCTCTACAGGCTACTGTAATACAAATAATTAAGAAGAAGAATAAGGGTGCATCCTGTTCTGAATATGTTATTTGGATGTGAATATCTTTTCAATATCTCAGTTTAGGTCATGCTCTAGACATCAGCAAGATCTTTTAAATAACCCTCATTTACAGTCTCCTAGGGTATGTCTATATTAAAAGCACTACAGTGGCACAGTTAAGGCTCTGCAGTGATATGTCCTACATCGACAGAAATACTTGAGTGGGGAAAATGTCCTTTGCTGGAGAAATGAAGGTTTATCCCTATAGAGGCAGAGTTAAGGTTCTTTGGATGATGTTAGACCATAGCTACAGAGCGGGAGACAGTGTCCTGGAAACCAGTTAGCATGAAAAGGATTTAGGAGTCACAGTGGACAAACCACTCAACACAAGCCCCCAGTGTGACTCTGTGGCATAAAGGTCTTGTATGGTCCTCCAAGGTATAAACAGGCAAGCAGTGAAGAGGAGTAGGGGTATGATTTTGCCTTTGTGTGAGACAGTGGTTCTCAAACGTTTCTACTGGTGACCCCTTTCACATAGCAAGCCCCTGAGTGTGACCCCCCCATACATTAAAAACACTTTAAAATATATTTAACACCATTATAAATGCTGGAGGCAAAGCGGGGTTTGGGGTGGAGGCAGACAGCTCACGACCCCCCATGTAATAACTTCACAACCCCCTGAGGGGTCCCAACCCCCAGTTTGAGAACCCCTAGTGTAAGACACCGGTGAGATTGGCACTGGAATACTGTGTACAGGTCTGGTGGCCACATTTTTAAAGGGATATTGAATAATTGGAGAAAAGAGTCACAAAAATGATTCAACGGCTGAAGAAAACGCCTTACAGTAAGTGCCTTAAACAGCTTATTCTGTTTAGCTTCTCAAAATGAAGACTCAGAGGTGACTTAATTACAAGGAATAAGCACCTTCAAGGGGAGAAAATAGCGGCTATTAAAAGGCTGTTTAATGTAGAGGGGAAAGGCAGAACAAGAACCAGTGACTGGGAGCTGAGGCCAGAGAAGTCCAAATTAGAATGAGGCACGTTTTTTACCGTGAGGGTGATTAACCACTGAACAGACTACCAAGTGGTGAACTGTCCATCTCTTGAGATCTTCACATCAAGATTTGTTGCCTTTCTGGCATAGCTGCTGGCAGGGCTGTCCCTAGACATTTTGGTGCCTTACGCAGCCCTCCGTTGGGGGGCGGGGAGAAGGGGGCTGGCCCCAGGCCTCTGTGTATGAGGAGATTTTGGCAAACCAGTAAAGTGCCTGAAACCACTACTGCTTATTGCTAAAAGCAGCCAAGTCACCAGGCTGTAAAGTGGCCATACAGCAGCCTCAGTTTGTCCAAGGCAGGAGGGGAGGGGCGTTAGGGTGCCACAGAAAGGGCAGCTTGACCCCACATCCTTCCTTATAAGAATTGTGTTGAAGTTGCTGATACATGCATTTTAGAAGAGCAGGATGTGCCCTCAGGAATGTGTCTGTTAGGGCCTCAAGGCTGCAAACTCTGGGAAAAACCCACACCTGGTTAATAATCAGAAGGAAACCTCTTGCTGGACCATTGAAACCACTTGCTTGACAAGTTTTCTTTAAGGGACAAGTCATTGCAGTACAAATAAGGGGGAAAAGGTTTGAGCCGGTGGGACTGCTCGCTTCCTCTGGATGCATCTTGTGTTCTCCGCCGGCAGACGGGCTGCCGCTGTGCCACTCGAGAGCCACACTCCGCTCCGGTAATTATCGAGGCTTGGGGGTGTTTTACTAACCTGTTGCGGACGTGTGTAAGTGCTTGAGACTAAGTAAAGTTTAGCTTTAAGTGAAAGCACTCTTGTGTTGTCCTGTTTGTGCCAGCCATCTATCGGTCAGATGGCTGTGGCTCCCGATTTATTTCCTGACACCACCTCGCACAGAGTAAAAGTTACCAAGAGCTTTGGGTTGAAAGAACCCCAGGTAGCATCCATGGGGGGGTGTCCCCAGGCCTCCGTGGGGGGGCGAGGGAGGGCTGCACCCAAGGTCTGTGGGGGGCAGGAGCAGGCTTGGGGGGCAGGGGGAGAAACCACCCCCCAGCACAAGCTGGAGGAGCGGGTTGGGGCCAGGTCGCTCCACTACCTGCCCCCCAGTGATTGCAGGGCAGGCCTGACTCCACGCTCATGGGGCAGCGGGAAGTGGAGTGTCCCAGCCCCAGCCCACTCTGCTCTGCTCCCCGGCTTCCAGCCTTGGGGGGCAGAGGGGAACCACCCCCAAGCACTCACCGGCGGTGCGGAGCAAGCCAGGTCGCTCCACTACCTGCCGCCTGGTGAGTGCAGGGCATGCCCGACCCCTGCTGCAGTCCCTTGGGACTTAGTTCAGGGGAAGGGGTGGAGTGGGGGTGGGGCTGCGGCAGAGCAGGGGTGGGAAGAGGTGGGGCCGGGTGGAGCAGGGGCGGGGGCTTTGGGGAAGGGGTGGAGTGGGGGCAGGACGAGAGCGGGGGCAGCTTTCCTGGCTGGCTCAGCTGGCCTGGGTATCAGGCTGGCCGCTGGAGCAGCACGCAGCTGCGTAGTTTGCGTATGGATAAGGATGGCCCTGGGTGCTGGAACTAAGGGTGCGGAGGATGCTGCAGTACCCCGTGACTTGAGGTGGTTTCCATTATATACAGGATTTACAGTTTGGTTCAATGGTTCTCAGCCCTCCCACCCACTATAAACATTGTTCCAGCACCCCTGCTTTCTGGAAGATCTGGTTGTCAAGCGTAAGTTATTGGGCTCAAAACATTGTTCACTGGGTGAATGGCCTGTTCTATACAGGACATCAGACTAGAGGATCTAGATTCTTCTGCCTTAAAATCTATGACTCAATGTTAGTTCTGCATTTCCAAACTTTGAAACCACTGGTTTTCTTTTAAGCTCCACGCTGACCTGAGGAGTTGGTCCCTTTACATCCTGTTTCATTAATTTCTCCTGGACCCTGATCCAAATCCCACTGAAATAAATGGGAATATTTCCATTGACTTCCGGGTCATGTCAAGTCTTGCATCTCAGAGTCCTAATGTTTCAGTTTGAAACCAAGAGTTGTACAGGTTCAATATAAGAGGAGCAGGACTGTCACAACATTTTTTAAAGGTTAATCAAACTTTATGAAATATTCAAAAAGGTTCAGGATTTGGTTTGAATTTTTATCAAACATTCAGCTTGGTGTTTTTCTTAAGTGTCTGCTGCTCATCGATCCATACGAGAGAGCAGCATGAAAAGGAATGATCATTATATGTGTATAATGACCCAGCTGGCACCAAGGCGATGAGAAACATTAACCACATGAGTGGGGAGAAAGGAGGATTTCAGGATGGTTTGGGCAGTTTTACAGAGATTCAGTTTATGATTAATTTTCATGCTCGGTCAGTGACCACATGAGCAAATGGAGATGATATATTCATAAAATTCAAAGGAGTTCATTCCTAGTATGACGACTCCAGTCACCTTTGTTAGTCCAGAGGTTATCTTGTTAATTCAGAGGAATTGACAGCTCCTATTGGCTAATTGCTTGCACCCACTTTTGCTGTATACAATATAAAAAGCGAGGATCTACTTTTCCTTTCTTTTATCCTGCCAGAATCCAGAATAACTGCTGCACTCTGCAATGGAACCTCTGGAAGCAACAGCTGTTTTCCTGGTGATTTGTATCCCTTCGCTTCTTTTCCTTTTGGCATGGAGAAAGGTGTCTGGAAGCGGGAGGCTGCCTCCTGGGCCTGTAGCTTTTCCCATCATAGGGAACACGCTGCAGCTGAATATGAGGAATTTGCCCAAACATGTGGAGGAGGTAAGGGTGTTTTCTTGGTATCAGTTATTGGGTTTTAGGTGGACATTAAGCAGAGCCTGGCACAAGCCTAGCATGGTGGCCATTCCATGTCACTCATCTCAAATTTCTGACTTATTTTTTTCACTAAACAATCAATTGTGGATGCTAGATGTAAACTGTTCAGGATAATATACTGGTCTTCTTAGGGGGGTCTTATTCACAAGTGATCCAGAGTGCCCCCTGTAGCTGCCTGTGATGGGTACAAATTATAGCAGGGTGGGGTCTACTGTGTTATGTAAGGAAATGGCAGTCAGGTGCCTTGGGTTCTGCTCCTACCTCTGCTACAGACTCCAGGTGTGCTTTTGGGCACCATGCTTAATCTCTCTCTGCCTTAATTTCCCCATCTGTAAAATTGCTCTCATGCTATTTGCCTACATCACAAAACGATGGTAAGGCAGAAACTGCAGATTAGCTTTGAAGAAATGACATTGTAGTGTTGCATGTTCTGGCATTTTAGCCAGCTCAGCAAACACACCCTGGGATTGGACAGACAGGTTGGATTCTTTCCTTCTCGCAAACCATCACAAATAATGAGGGTGGTACAGGACAAATGTTGCCCCCAGTCACAGCTGTTCACCTTCATTCTCTTCTCATCATGCCCTGAGATACAGATGTGTTTGTCCATTTATTTGCAGAGGTGTAATCAACTGGAAATTGAACAGTAATTCTGCCGGTGATGTTAACGGGAAACAGAATCTTACTTTTCTCTGTCCTTGGCTCTGCAGGGCTGAGAAGAGTAAAACGAAGGGAAACTCTGTCCTGTCATTATAAAATCAGCTGACATGACTGAATAAATGCAGGCAGCATTTCTGTGGTGTTAGAAGTGTCATTTTTACATAGCACTCAAGATCACCATTTAAAGGCCCCATATTAATGTAGTCTGCTCTTATAATGAGGTAATTGTATAACACATATAGAATTATCTTTGAAAGGCACAAACACATCTATAGGAAAAAATGTCAAAAATGTATTAAGATAAAGTGAAGCACTGAAAGATCAGGAAGTCCCAGATCCTCTAAGATATGTAGGCGTCTAACTCTCATAGAAATCAGTGGAGTTAGGCTCCTAAACACTGTACCTTGGAGGATCTGGGCTGAAATGGCCAAGTCTGCACGGTGAGCAGTAGTAAACTTGCTTAGTATTAGCTCAGTGGCATGAGAGCACTTTCATCAGTTTGTAATTTGATCTACACACATTCTTATTTGTAATTAAGTGGATCTAAGTTCAAAATATGTTACTGGTCTTTTGTGTTAAACATTCACAGCTCAGTGCAAAATATGGCCCAATTTTCACAATATACTTTGGCTCAGTATGCGTTGTGGTGCTGTATTGATATGAGATTGTGAAGGAAGCTCTGATTGGTCTCGGGGACGAGTTCAGTGGAAGAGGAAGTATGCCAATATTTGAAAGAATCTCCAAGGGAAGAGGTACATTTCAAGTAACGTCAGCATATAGAGGAGAACACAACTGCAAAGACAAAAGGGAAACAGCTGGAGTTTCATTCATAGAGTAGTAAAAATTGGATAAATAGTCTTGGTTTCAGGAAAGAGCCCATTCCCTATTGTGCCACTGTTGCCCCAGAATTCGACATTCATGCGTGTACCCCAGAACTTGACAGTACAGCAGTCAGCCATAATGTACGTTCAGCCACTGCCAGCTGAAAACCAAGTATCACATAGCTAGGAATAGTCTTAGGCCTTTGTGAGACAAGGTCAGACAGCTGCACACTTGCAGTTTGTTAATCAGAATGGGAGGATGGGATAGAAAGTTATGGAGGAAAGTGAGTGAATAGCGACCTTGGTTTTTAGGTGCCCCTAACATATTGTTGTTATAGCTAGAAATACCAGAAATGTTTTGAGCTAATGAGTAGTTTGTTGAAAGTAGGAGAATTGAGGACCCAGTAGAGATTATTATGCTCACCCACTAGGAGTCACTATAGTTTATGTGCTTTGTTAAAGTTAGCTATAAAAGATTAGGTAAAAGTAAATACCTCGGAGCAGTCTGAGGGAGCTTTTCTTTGGGAAAGGAGCTGATATCTAAACTCCCTATCTGCCAGACAGAAAGAGGGCCCCTGGAAGTCCGACTGGTGATTACTCAAAATCATCTCAGATTGTGGGTAACTATATCTGGGATGTTCCAAACCTATTGCTTATGTCTGTGTGTGCTTAATATCTAATAAATCATAGATTTAGATAAAAGCACGCTTATATCAATAATTTATCAGATGGAATTGCTGTGTTCTCATTGATTTATTCCTGACGCTGTCTGGAGTGAAACAGTTAAGTTACCACAGTTTTGGGTTCTGAAAACACTGGGTAACATCACTGGTTCACTGACATGGATGGTTCCGAGCATGTCACTACAGGTTTATGACAGGTAACGGCCAGGCCAATCTACCTTACAAGGTCCAGAATACAGCCAGGAAAGCAGGACTGGAGAGGCAAAGAGGGTCAGAACAAACCATGAATTTCTATCCTCTTCCTCCCCTGTCCTCACAAGTATAGGTATAGCCCATTTGTGCTGGACATGGCCCACCTTGATGATCATACACATTGTAAGGAGAGTGATCACTTTAGATAAGCTATTACCAGCAGGAGAGTGGGGTGTGGGGAGGTATTTTTTCATGCTTTGTGTGTATAAAAAGATCTTCTACACTTTCCACAGTATGCATCCGATGAAGTGAGCTGTAGCTCACGAAAGGTTATGCTCAAATAAATTGGTTAGTCTCTAAGGTGCCACAAGTACTCCTTTTCTTTTAGCCCATAAGCAGTGAAGGATTATTTGTATTATTGTTTTACTTGGGTGTCTCAGTTTTTAAGGTTCTTTAGTAGTAAGGAATTAATAAATATGGAAGCACCAAGAAGTCCTTTTCAGGAAGTCTTTTATCTTGTTTCTGCATTAAGTGAAATATATTTACATTACAATCACAGTGACTGTGAAAACAACCTTCAGTATATTTACTTGATTGCACAGAAAAAAAAAAACACTTGAAAGGAACGTTATTGAGGTTGTAAAGTCAAGCACTAGAAGTTAGGAATTGCTAGAATTAAGATTCCCTATGCAACTGCACAGTTAGTGTTAATGAGTTAATGGAATAACTGATAGCAGCAGTAGCTTGTTATCTCACATGTGAACAGGCACCAGGATCTGTGAGGTGCTGGTGCATGCCCAGTAAAGACCGAACCTTTGGAGATTTTAGCTGCTAAATTCTAAGAAGTCTCTATTAAGCATGTGTGAAATATGATTTTTTTCAAAGGCTTGTAACTTGGGCACATTGTGGGAAACCACTGAAAATGAAGTGGCCTATAATGGCCAATTAACACCTCCGCAGTGGTGGGATAATGAAGGGTTAGTAGTCAGCAGGGTATCTTATAACTATTGTAATGGGCCATAAAAACAGTGTTTCTTTAAGAGTGAACCTCTTTTGCAGTCTGTCCCATCTTGTTTTTAGCTTGGACACGACAATTAACTGCTGCAGACCTGAGGAAGAGCTCGGTGCAGCTCAAAAGCTTGTCCTTCCACCAACATAAGTTGATCCAATAAAAGATATTACCTCACCTACCTTGTCTCTCTGATATCCGGGGTCCCACATGGCAATAGCAATACTGCAATCAGTATTTGCAATGTAGCTGTAATGTCGTCTCCCTACTAGAACACAGACACAATATCGGTTAAGTTGAAGTTGAGTCATCAATGTTTGGGTATTTTTTCAAATCGGCAAACTGAGTCTGACCCTCTCTCCTTTCATTCCTGTTCTCTTCCCTTTTCCAGCTATTGTTTTCAGCAATGGGGAGCAGTGGAAGCAGCTTCGCCGATTTGCCCTCACTAATCTGAGAAATTTTGGGATGGGGAAGAAAAGCATTGAGGAGCGTATCCAGGAGGAAACCCGTTTTCTAGTGGAAAGACTCAGAAACACACATGGCGGGGATTGTTTCATGTCCGTTGGAAATTGAGGAGTCAAAGATTCTTGTCTTTCTGTTTTTCATTATATTAATTGTTTGGTTCAAACGTCTTGTAACTCAAGCCATTAACTGCACATATAATAACCTGCGTTAATGTAATGGGAAAGGATGTGTGCAACTTTCCAGAGAGGACCATTTCTGGCTGTTTCTTTCTCCCCTTTTCTCCCCTCTGATCTGTGATCAATGAGCAAATGGAAGATATTTGTCTAGAGTGTATAGACACGAACACAGTGAGCCATATTAGAGCGGGTTAGTTCCAGTGTGCTGGGTTAAGAAGACCCCCAGGCCTACAGTTTGCTTCTTCTCATTTTTTTCTCGGCTAGATATCTGATACATGTTTGGCACCTTCATTCTATAGTAGCAGTTCTCAACCTGTGGTGCACGGGCCACATTCGGCCCAATTAGCACACAGCTGCAGCCCAGCTCAGCTGTCTGCTAAAGGTTGGCCCACATGCCAGGTCCCCTGGGTTCCTGGCTGCCCAGCGAAGGGGTCTGGGCTGCCAACACTAGTTTTGGGGGTCCAGGGATCCCAGGTGGCCCAGCAGGGTCAGGGGAAGCCGCCTGGCCCTACAAGCTCTGGAGTCTGAAGCAGCCATGCGGCGAGGGTCCAGGGTCGGGGCGGCTGGCCAGCCCTATGGGGTCAGGGGCAGGCAGCTGGCAGGCCCTGTGTGGCAGGGGTCCAGGATCCAGGGTCGGGGTCAGGTCCATACTGCTGCTTCCCTACCACCTGGTCCCAAGGGCTGGGATCCTTTCTGTGAAATGGGCCCCAAGTCAGACAGGCAGGTGTCACTCAGAGAGGGACTGGTGGCCCCTGGTCAGACCAGAGTGTGCCATGGTGCAGAGCAGAGTGAAAACTGATTGCCAGCAGAAAAAGTGGTGGTTGTTTAATTTAGCATGTGAGAGGTAAGAGTGGGGATTGGGACAGCCCTAACCCACCCTCCCCAGGGAATATTGCTGTCAGCCCCACCTTGCCCTAGGGTGGGAGATCCACAACGTCCCCGTGTTGCCAGGGACTCTGATGCTAAGGGTGAAGACACTGAATTAAAACTGATTCTTTTTAGTTTTGTTTTGCTCCAGGGCAGCCCTTTGACCCCACCCTCTTCCTTACTCACGCCGTCTCCAACGTCATCTGCTCCATCATCTTTGGGGACCGGTTTGACTATGAAGATAAGAAGTTTGTTACTTTAATTAGTCTTGTACAAGAAAATGACAAGCTCCAGCGCTCTCCCTGGACAGCGGTATGTTCAGGGGTTTATTTTATTCTCCTCGTTTGTATTGAGGGAGGGAACAGAGATTTATTTCTTTAACTATTAATTTTCCTTAAACAAGTGTTATTTCAGATTCCCATAATGGTCTTATTCTCTTCATTAGGCTGCAGCTACAACCAAACCCAGCCTCAAACTTGTTTCTAAGTCTTGTTTAAATTCCCAGACAAAACACTTCATTAGCTCAGAATTAAGTTTGATTAAGGATATTCACTATCAACATTATTGGTAAAAAATCAAGAAAGTTGCCAGTTAAAATGTTGATATCCACACCAATCACATCACATGCCTTATCCCATAAGCAACATGATAGTGAATGTGATCATATTTCTCACCTCCAAAGCAAACTTTCTTTCACTTCCAGCTCACAGCCAACCACCAGACACATCCCCATTCCTGAAAATCTCGCTAATTGCACAATGAAGGGCCAAACTCTTTGTTGGCATAACTCAGTCAAAATAAAGGGAGTTACACCACAAGAGAGAATTTGACCCATTTACTGCCACCTCAGGAAGTCTAAAGTATATTTTCCTTTTAAAGACTATAATTGTTTATTGCTGCTTAAGAAAATCTGTGGTCAGAGCTAAGATTGGACACTTGAGTGTTTTTTTTTTGTTTGTTTTGTTTTTTAGTAAAAGGATGTGTGTTCTGGGGGTGGCTTTATGTGGGGAAAAATGGAGTGTACCTTAGCTGATATAACTGAATGTCACTGCTGTTTTTGTGAGGAATTTATGTATGTTCGATAGCCTGACTTAGCGGAGTTCGCAACGATCTGTTGAATCCATTTTCATAAGAAGGTGCTACAGAAATATTGTATTGTTTTGCTGTACTTGAATCATTTGAGTGAACACGATGATTATCTGTTGTGTCCAGATATATCAAGCTGTGTTTTTCTTTCATCCTTTATAGCTGTATGTTTTTTTCCCGACTTTTATGGATTACATCCCTGGTCCTCACCAGGGGTTATTTAAAAATGCTCAGGAGTTCAGAAGATTTGTTCTGGAGAGAGTGAAGATGCACAAAGAGTCTCTGGATTCCAACTGCCCTCAAGACTTTATTGATGCTTTCCTCATCAAAATGGAAGAGGTATGTGAAGGCAGAAGCACTTCCCCTTTCTTGTAGAATGGGTTATATGTATCATTGGGATTAATTTGTTAAGCAATAACAGAGGACAGGGCTTTGGAGAAGGCCCGAAGGGGAGACATGGTCTCTGCCCAAGGAATATACATTATAATGGTCAAACTCTTCTCTCCTCCTTCACATAAAGAAAAAAAATCACCTTATTGCACAGAAAAGACCCAATGCACCACAGTAATACAGCTGTAATGTCAGGTGCTATGGGCCATTTTTGTGGGATTTTTATAATGATCAGAGGTGGGTCACCTGTTGGGTAGAAGAATATATATCTGAATATATCCTACAGTTTTACCGTCAATAATCAAAGATCTTCACCAAATCTTTTTTCAGGAGCATAAGAATGTCCAGTCAGAATTTAATGTGGAAAGTTTGATACGAAGCACAGTAGAATTATTTATCGCTGGAACAGGGACAACCAGCATCACTCTGAAATATGGACTCCTGATTCTTCTGAAATATCCAGAAATAGAAGGTAGCAGTCTTCCCTCCCCGCACACACAAAATGTTAGGTCCTAGGGGTACATGAGGAATACATGACCAGTAAATGGATACAGAGCATCTCCCCTTCAGTCACCAGAAGCGCCTGGCCTGGCAGTGACCCATGTTATTGTAACATGGTGATGGTTCATTAGTTTATGTGAAGTGGGTTGAATATGTGTTGGGTGGGGGACGACGGTTTCATACTCCAGTTCCCTGCAGACACACGTTCTCATTCAAAAAGCACCATTATAACGGGCATTACTTGTCCCCGTATTGACAGTCTGAGCAAAGGGGCCAAAGGCTAAATAGGCCATTGTGATTGAATTCCTCTCTCAATCCAGGTCAGTGTAGTTTCTGTAACCCCAAATTGACCAGGTTTGTTATAATCCGAAATTGCAGACAGTGTGATACAATGGTGGCAAATCTATGGAAATCCTCCTTTACCATTATTGTTAAGCCTCATTAATCTGATGACAGAGAAAGTTCATGAAGAGATTGACCGTGTGATTGGCCAAAGTCGAAGCCCCTGCATGGCGGATCGAAGCCAGATGCCCTACACAGATGCTGTGGTACATGAAATCCAGAGGTTCTTCACTTTTGCCCCGTTAGGTGTTCCACGTGCTGTGACTAGAGATGTTCATCTCAAACAGTACCTTATTCCCAAGGTCAGTGTCTGTGAAAGGTTGGGTTCTTTTACCTTTTTCACCTTTTAATTTTGAATTATTCACAATAGAAATGCTTCAACTAGATTTTGTGTGGTGTTTTTTTTTTCTCTTTTACCAATTATTGAATCCCTCCAAGCCTCTGCATGAAGCAGAACAGCAGTTTGCAATCTGCAGGCTGGACTTTTCTTCCAGGACAGGGTTTCCAGATCCTAGCTGTGGCATTTAGCTAATATGCAGAACCATTTTCTTCTTTTGAGGCTGAAGGGATTTTGTTTCTGGGGAAATTTCTTGGTACAGTTAGTTCACAAACAAAACAACATAGGAAAGTTTAAAAAGTATGAGAGCCCTCCCAACCTTTGCTTATTTCTGGAACGGAATGCAAGCCAATAAATACAAATATGAAACAAAACAAAAACTATACTTCAAGGTTAAAGTATTTTTAATAGTGAGCCAAACTTACACAGTTAATTCTTGGTTTTTGTTTACTAAATAATGAAAAATAGACTTGGATTTATATTAAATAGACTAATAGATTCTTATGCTAGACAGGACCATTGTGATTGTTTAGTTTGATGTCCTATATAACACGTGCCATGGAACTTGTCCAAGAACAGATCTTTTAGAAAAACATCCAATCTTGATTTTAAAAAATTGTCAGTGATGGAGAATCCACCACGACCCTTGGTAAATTGTTCCGATGGGTAATTACTCTAACTGTTAAAAACTTCCACCTTATTTCTAGTCTGAAATTGTCCAGCTTCAGCTTCCAGCCACTGGACCATGTTACATCTCTCTGTTAGATTGAGGAGCCCATTATTAAATATTTGTTCCCCATGCACTTATAGATACTTAGGGACCATTATCAAGTCACTCCTTGACCTTCTCTTCATTAAACTAAATATATTGAGCTCTTTGAGCGTATCACCATAAGGCATGTTTTCTAATTCTTTAATCATTTGAGCTCTGGGCACCAGAATTGGACACAGTATTCTGGCAGGGATCTCACCAGTGCCAAATACAGAAGTAAAATAACCTCGCTACTCCTACTCAAGATTCCCCTGTTTTGCATCCCAGGATAGCGTTAGTTTATTTGGCCACAGCATTACACTAGGAGCTCATGTTCAGCTAATTATCCACCACAACGCCCAAATCTTTTGAAAAGTGATTATTTTACTAGGCTAGAAGCCGCATACTGTAAGTATGGCCCATCTTCTTTGTTCCCAGAGATGTACATTTACATTTAATTGTATTAAAATGCATATTGTTTACTTGCGCCCATTCTACCAAGCAAGCTAGATTGCTCTGAATCAGTGACCTGTCCTCTTCAGTATTTGCCACTCCCCCAAGTTTTGTGTCCTCTGAAAACTTTATCAGTGGTGGTTTTCTGTTTTCTTCCATGTCATTGTTAAAAATGTGAAATACAATAGGGCCAAGAACCAGTCCCTGCAGGACCCCACTGAAAACAGACCCGCTCAGTGACCATTTCCTATTTACAATTAAATTTTGAGATCTATCAGTTAGCCAGTTTTTAATCCATTTAATATGTGCCATATTAATTTAATATTGTTCTGGTTTTTAATCAAAATATCATGCAATACCAAGTCATGCCTTATAGAAGCCTAAGTGTATTATGTCGTCACTACTACCCCTATCAACCACCCTTGAAATCTCATCAAAAAAGGATATCAAGTTAGTTTGACACTCTATTGTCCATAACCCCATGTTGACTTGCATTAATTACACTATCCTCCTTTAGTTCTTTATTAATCTAGTCCCATAACATCAGCTCCATTATCTTGCCTGGGTTCGATGTCAGGCTGATATGCCAGTGATTAACCAGCTCATCCCATTGACCCTTTTTAAAAATTGGCACAGCATTAGCTTTCTTCCAGTCTTCTGGAACTTACCCACTTCTCCAAGACTTATTGAAAATCAACATGAATGGTCCAGCAAGCTCCTTGGCCAGCTCTTTTAAAACTCTTGAATGCAAGTTACCTGGACCTGCTGATTTCAAAATATCTAACTTCAGTAGCTTCTCCTTAACATCCTCCAAAGATACTAATGGACAAAGATAAAAGGCCAGGAGGACAATTGTGATAATCTATTCTGACCTGTATAACACAGGCCATAGAACCTCCCCAAAAAATGTCTTTGATGTAGCTTCTCTCTGACTGGCAGGGGTATTTTGCTGGGTCTGATATGCTGAATAATAATACTTATCTCCTGTATCTCAAAGCACTTTACCAAGAGGAAGTAGTATTGCTATCCCCATTTTACAGAGGGGAGCAACAAGGGCTCTGACACCAAAAGTGACTTGCCTAGTCACTCAGTGTATCCTAGCTCTGCCAATGAGTAGTACAAAGGCTGGACTGCAGTTCAGTGGAATTAGCTGTGCTCGTGAAATTTTAATATTTCTGTTTCTGGTTGAAAGCATGACATTCAGGGGATGCAAGGAAATGAAGAAAAACAAAGACTGATCCCACAGTCCACCTCAGTGAATTCTGGAGGCTTCTCTCTTTTGGATAGTATCCACTTTAACTCTTTTCTTCTGCATTTGCTAATTCAGGGCACCACGATATTTCCTTCACTGAAGTCAGTTCTGTATGACAGCAGGGAATTTCCAAACCCAGAGCAATTTAACCCAGGACATTTCTTGGACGAAAATGGTGCCTTTAAGAAGAGTGACTTTCATGCCTTTTTCTGCAGGTAAATTAAGCCATTTTTATTTCAGATCCCAGACTGTCTTCTGGCTTTGCCTTGAACTTCCTAGTGGCTCTCAGACTGTTTAGTGCATAGTGTTTTCAGGTGGCCTATGAAGCAGAGTCTCTCACGCTAGCAAAGCATCTATCAGTCTTTAAAGACAGGTTTTAGAGTAGCAGCCGTGTTAGTCTGTATTCGCAAAAAGAAAAGGAGTACTTGTGGCACCTTAGAGACTGACAAATTTATTTGAGCATAAGCTTTCGTGAGCTACAGCTCACTTCATTGGATGCATCCGATGAAGTGAGGTTGTAGCTCATGAAAGCTTATGCTCAAATAAATTTGTCAGTCTTTAAAGAGTGTCACTTCCTGCTCGTTGTCTGAAGTCAATTTTTTGACTAACTACGCACTCCCTTCCTTCTCTTCACTCTGCCTGGCAACATCATGTCTAGCTTGTCTGGTATAAATTAATCCCTGATATAATGGCCAGACAACACTAAAACTGAATAGAGTACCAAATGTATGGTAAGACAAAGCCAACTGCATAATCATCTGGAGAGATATCCTAGAAATGCAGGGTTGGAAGGGACCTTGACAGGTCATCAAGTCCAGCCCCCTGAGCTGATGCAGGACCACATAAATCTAGACCATCTGTGACAGATGTTTGTCCAGTCTGTTCTTAAAACCCTCCAGTGATGGGGATTCCACAACCTCCCTGTATAGTTAAAAAAGTTTTCCTAATTTCTAAACTAAATCTCCCATGCTGCAGATTAAGCCCATTACTTCTTGTCATACCTTCAGTGGACAAGGAGAACAATTGATTCCTGTCCTCTTTATGACAGCCCTTCACATATTTGAAAACTATTATCGGGTCCCCCATCAATTGTCTTTCTCAAGACTAAACATGCCCAGTTTTGTTAGTTTCCTCAGCGGTCAGGTTTTCTAAACCTTTGATCATTTTTGTTGCTCTCTTCAGGACTCTCTCTAATTTATCCACATCTTTCCTAAAGCATGGTGCCCAGAACTGGACAGGGTACTTCAGCTGAGACCTCACCAGTGCTGAGCAGAGTGGGATAATTACCTCCCTGTCTTATATATGACACTCCTGATAATACACACCAGAATGTTATTAGCCTTTTTTGCAACTGCATCCCATGGTTGACTTATATGCAATTTGTGATCCACTGTAACTCCCCTGGATGCTTTTCAGCAGTACTACTGCTTAGCCAGCTATTCCCCATTTTATAGTTGTGCATTATAAATGTCCATATATTATAAGCATATTCTCCAATCCATCATCCAAGTTATTAATGAAAATATTGATTAGTACTGGACACAAGAAAGGCCCTTCCAGAACCCCATTATATACACCCTCGCAGTCTGAAAGCAAACCATTGATAGCTACTCTCTGAATACGTTTTTTTTTAAACCAGTTCTGAACCCACCTTATAGTAATTTCATCTTGACACCATTTCCCTAGTTCGCTTATGAGAATGTCATGTGGGTCTGTGACAAAAGCCATATTAAAACCAAGATATATCACATCTACTGCTTCCCCTCTGTTCTCTAGGTCAGTAACCCTGTTAAAGAAGGAAATCAGGATGGTTTGGCATGATTTGCTCTTGACAAATCCATGCTGGCTATTCCTCATAACCCTATTATCTTCTAGGTACTTACCAATTGATTGTTTAATAATTTGTTCCAGTATCTTTCCAGGCTGACTGGTCGACAATTCCCCAGGTCCTCTTTGTTCCCCTTGTTAAAGCTAGGTACTATGTTTTTCCATTTCCAGTCTTCTGGGACCTAAGCCATCCTCCATGAGCTCTCAAAGATAATTGCTAACCATTCTGAGATTGCTTCAGCTAGTTCCTAAAATTCATTGGCCCCTGCTGACTTGAATATGTCCAACTTATCTAAATATTCTTTAACCTGTTCTCTCCCTATTTTGGAGTGTGTTTCTTTCCCCTTGTTGTTAATATTAATTGTGTTGAGTATGTGGTCACCATTCACCTTTCCAGTGAAGACAGAAGCAGAAGGTGCATTAAATACCTCAGCCTTCTTGATGTCATCAAGGGGCTACTTAACTTCTCTACTTGAATCTAAGCTACTGAGCCTCCCTGCCACTCTGTTAACAGTGCCTTTCAGCCGTCTTCCTCCACCCTGCTATTCAGGACACCCACACCTCTCTACTTGTTACTTCTCTCCTTCTACTCAGTCACCACCATGTCACTCCCCCAGAAAACTGTTTAGCTCATTTGGAAAGTGGATAATCTATTCCTCAAACCCCACATCTTCCCACCCTTCACCCCCAACTGCCTTTAAAATGGCAATATAAGGAACTCAATTCCTCAGATTATCTGTGAGCAGCTTCTTAAACCCACGTACACTTTCATACCTTACTGAACTCTGAGAGACAACCATTATCCTCCATGCACTTGCCCTGAATCACTCTGTGCATCTAACTTTAATCCTGAGGTTTTGCTTCCTTAATAACCATATTTAATATGTGCTACAAAGAAAGATCTCCAGCATCAACTCAAAATTCCTTTTTCATTGCAGGGAAGCGGATTTGCGTGGGAGAGGGTCTGGCTCGGATGGAGCTCTTTTTGGTACTGACAACGATTTTGCAGAACTTTACCTTGAAACCTGTCGTTGACCCCAAACATATTGATATAACTCCCAAGTCGAGCTTCATGTCAAATGCACCAAAATCATACCAACTTTGTGTTCTTCCTCGATAAAGATAGTGAAAAGTCACCTCAATACCTTAGACCTGTGCATTAATTTGATTGTCTTTGATTCTGAACTCATTTACACAGTGACAGAAATGAACTCATTGTCTTCAGACAGACAGATCAATTACTAGTTTTTTTATGTAACTTGGATTTAACAAAATTATGTGTAGTATCAAAAATAACCATACAATTGACTCAAAAAGCCATGTACAATAATCATGTAGTGTTCTCAGAAGGGCTCAGGTTGGAACAGAACCTGGCTATGTTTTCAGTTCATTTGTGGTTTGGTTGACAACTATGGAAACTTCTTTAGGCAGCTCTAAGGCTTCTTTATTGACAAAGAGTTGGTAACAGTGTACCAGCCAAAGAGAATAAATTGTGATGATGTAATGCTTTTGGCTCAATATCCTACTTTGATAGGCAGAGTTTCTGTAGCATTGGACCGAACTAGAGTTCTCCCTCTCCTGCTCATTCATGCAAGTTAAACTAAGCACAGTGTTAATAAAGTTGCTCCTCATTAATTTTCCAACTCACCTAAACACTTCTATATATTTACATATTTATGTACTTTTGTGATGCATGTTCCAGGTCTGGGACCAAGCTGGGAGGTGCAGATTCATTCACCAAATAGTCACTGAACGAACAAAACATGATGCCAATTTAGATTTGGTATTGGGGGGTAGTGAGGACCTCATGGAACAACTGGTTGTAGGGGAAAACCTTGGTTCTAGTGATCATGAGCTAATTCAGTTTAAACTAAAGGGATGGAAAAACAGAAATTGATCTGCAACTAGGGCCCTTGATTTCAAAGGAGCTAACTTTAAAAACATAAGACAATTAGTTAGGGAAGTGGATTGGACTGAAGAACTCAAGGATTTGAATGTGGAGAAGGCTTGGAGTTACTTTAAGTCAATGTTACAAAAACTATCTGAAGCCTGCAACCCAACCAAGGGGAAAAAATTTGTAGGAAAGGGCTCCAGAACAAGCTGGATGAGGAAGTATCTCAAACAGGTGATTAAGAGAAAGCAGAAAGCCGACAAGGAATGGAAGATAGGATGGATCAGCAAGGAAAGCTACCTCTTGGAGGTCAGAAAGTGTAGGGATAAAGTGAGAACTGCCAAAGGCTAAGCAGAGTTGGACCTTGCAAAGGGAATTAAAACTAATAGTAAAAGGTTTTTTCGGCCATAATAATAATTGGAAAACAATGAAAAAAGAAGTGGGACTGCTAAATTCTGAGGATGGGGGATGGGGGCAGAGAATGAAGATAATCTAGGTGTGGTCCAGCCATGTCCGGATTAACAGGCTTTAGGGGCTTCAGCGCAGGGCCCCGGGCTAAGGGGGCCCCAGCACTGCAGAGCCCAGGAAGGCTGCCTGCATGCTGTGGCCCCATGCTGCTCCTGGAAGTAGCCGGCTACTGGCACGTTTCTGCAGCCCCTGGCGGGGGGCGGGAGGGAGGTGGCTCTGCATGCTGCCCTCGCCCCCAGCACCATCCCTGCAGCTCCCATTGGCCAGAAGCCAGCCAATGGGAGCTGCAGGGGTGGCGCTTTCGGGCATGGGCAGCACATGGAGACACGCTGTCCCTCTCCCTCCAGGGGCATGCAGAGATGTGCCAGCAGCCGGCTGCTTCTGGGAGCAGCATGGGGCCACGGCATGCAGGCAGGCGGCCTGTCTGAGCCCCACTGTGCCGACGGCTGGGAGACGCCTGTGGTAAGCGCCTCCCAGCCGGAGCCTGCAGCTAGCACCCCCTCCTGCACCTCAATCCCCTGCCCAAGGTCAGAATCCCCTCCTGCACCAAACTCCCTCCCAAAGCCCGCACCCCTCACCCTCTCCTGAACCCCAACGCTCTGCCCCAGTCTGGTGCCCCAGTCTGGTGCCCCCTCCTGCACCCAAACTGCCTCCCAGAAAGAAACTAATATAACAGCTGTTCTAAGGTGATAAATAGGCTATTTTGAATTAACTTAACTATATTCTACATGTTTTAAGACTGAAATGTAACAGAACAGCTTTATGTTAATTAAAAGGCAAGTTTAGTATCACATTAATAGCCTTGATGCCATAATTGTGATAATTTTGTTTTAAATTAGGAAAAAGACTTGTATTCAGGGGCCCCACAAAATCTAATAGCCCCGGGCCCACAGGAGAGTTAATCCGGCCCTGGGTCCAGCCATCTGTACAATTACTTTGCTTCCATTTTTAATACGGGTAATGAAAAGCTTCGGGGTAGCGGCAGGTTGGCTAATGGGAATGAAGATATGGAAGTAGAAATTACCACAACCAAGGTGG